TATATAAACTTCTCACATGAAATTGAAAGAAACACTGATTTAAGAGGCTCTTTTTTCTGATATAATGATCTCTTTAAATCTCTGTGTGTGGGGGTGTGTTCGGGCATGAATGTGGACACTCAACATGCCATGGCATATGTGTGGAGGTCAGAGGGCAACCTTGGGTGTTCATCCTCACCATCTTCTTTGATTGAGACAGGGTCTCCTTTTGTTTGTTACTGCAAACCCCGGACTATCTGGCCCATGAGATTCTGGAATCTCTACCCCCAACTTGCTATAGAAGCACTGTGATTACAGTCGCACATTACTGAGTCCAGATTTACACGGGTTCTGGGGATCTGAACTCAGGCTCTCATGCATGCATGCATGGCAAACACTTTACCCACTGAGCCCTCTCAAAAGCCCCTGACATACTGATTTAATATATAAACGTTGGTTTTAGAGGTTTTGGAACTGCGCCCACAAGTTTTGCTCTGATGTATTTTTAATATGTTCAAAGTGTATTGGAAATTTTCCTTAAGATTTCCTTTTAAAACTCATGCTTAAAACAATTTTTTTTAAAAATTGCATTTGAGCCAGGCAGCGGTGGTGGTGGTGGTGGTGGTGGTGCACGCCTTTAATCCCAGCACTCGGGAGGCAGAGCCAGGCAGATCTCTGTGAGTTCGAGGCCAGCCTGGGCTACAGAGTGAGATCCAGGAAAGGTGCAAAGCTACACAGAGAAACCCTGTCTCGAAAAACAAAAAACAAACAAAAAAAACTGCATTTGTGTGGTGATGTGTATGTGTGTGCCATTGCCATCAGAGCTATCTTGCCAGCTCTTGTGTATTTCTTTTCACCAAACTGAGATCATGCCAAAATCCTGCTATTTAAAGTTCATATTAGGGACACAGAAGGCTCAGGAGCAGGCCTGATGACCTGAGTTCAATCCCCAGGATCCACACGGTGGGAGAGAACTGACTCTTGCAAGTTGTCCTCTGGCCTTCACATGCCCACACACGAACTCACCGCTAAATAAATAAAATGTGAAAAACACATTTAAACAGTGAATGGCTTCCAACAATCCGATCAACACCCGGCTGAGAGTTGTCTAGGATGGGCAGATGCTCAGTTTTAGGGCACATGAATATCTGATCACCCTTCCTAGGCGTGGGAGGGGTCAGAGGGTCTGCTTCTCTATAAACTTACAGGTACTGCTAACAGAAACAGTCTAGACTCTAGGATAAAAGGGGAGAACTCTGAATGGCCGCCGAGAGGAGCGGTTTAGGAGCACAGTCAATAGCTCTTGCTGGGTCATGTTCTTTTTGGAGGGAATCAGACAATACAAGGACTTTAGGGAGGAGAAAGCTGGGGGTAAAGTGAGGGATGGAGAGTTGGGGACACTGGCATACCAGGGGTGAATGCAACCTTGGGCTAGAAAAGCATGACTCTCGGTTAAAATAAGGCAGCAGAGCTGGGAGGTTGGACACTGTAGTCATTAGACAGCTTGATGTCCAAGTACATTTACTATGAGGCAAAGTGTCTAGAGTAGATAAGTCTTTATTATTTTTTAAAACTTTAGTGTGTGTGTGTGTGTGTGTGTGTGTGTGTGTGTGTGTGCAAGTCACATGCTAATGGGTGCCTATGGAAGCCAGAAGAGAGTGTCAGATCCCCTAGAGCTGGAGTTATAGGTAGTTGTGAGCCACCAACATGGGTGCTGGAAACCAAACCTGGGTCCTCAGAAAGAACATCAAGTACTCTCAACTGCTGAGCCGTCTTTCAGCCCCTTGAGTGAAGCTTAACACTGGTTGAAATCTGATGGAGTGCTGTTGCCTAGGCCCTTCTGAAATAAATTAGAATATTGGGGCAGGGTGGTGGAGCATATCTCTCCATATATCTGTCTGCCATCTATTTACTTTTGCTTTTATTTTTTTGAGACAAAAAATGATTCTCCTGCCTCAGCCTCCCCAGTGCTGGTCTTGCATGTGTAAGCCACCATGCTTGACTCAGAGATCTATATTTCAAAGTAGTGTGGCCATCACAAGATGAAGAAAGAACTCCACACCTCAGCTGTGAAGATGTAAACCTTTAAGGAGGCCATTTAAAAACAAATTGCAGATTTCTCACACTAGTACCCGTTTCCCAATTCTCCTGCCTTCCTACACCCCATGCCCTTGGATACCCAGAACTTGACCCTCCCAAAGCTTCCCTGCTAGTCCACGCCCGCAGCCTTGCCCATGTTTCTCATTCTTTAATAACACTCTCCATGTCTTTGTCCTGTCCACCTCTGCCTCTGGAAGGCCTTCCCTGACCCTATTCTTGTTCAGTGTTCTAGCATGGTCAGTAGCTCTCAAACCCAGGACTCCACACAGTCTCAGGCTCTACTTAAGGACCTCAGTAAATAATGACCACTGGCAGGCACCCATTCAGAGACAGTCTGTGAATGTATTTAAACTTCAAGTTTATTTAAACTCTAGAACATGAAAAACAAACAAACAAAAAATAAAAAAATAAAACAAACAGCATCCCTGGACATAAGCACTAAGTAATTTTGCCTTCAACAAAATTATTTTGTGTAGCTAGCCAAAGGGAGGAGAGGGGCGTAGAGAAGAAAGGAAATTCCATTTATTGAGAAGGACTTCTGGTACACTGTGCAATTGTTACTCATTTGAAATCTAATTTGAGGCATAAATTGCTTTTCCCTACTTTTGATTGATTTTCAGAAACACCACGAAATGAACATAGTTTTCCCCTTACTTCTGCTTGGAGAACATCCTTCCAAGACCAGAACAGCGAGGAAATTTGGGGATTTACTTTCCATGTTTCGGTGAGCCCGATTTAGAAAATGCAAACATCGGATCAAATTGAAATGGAAAGTATAAAGGCCCCTGAAGATGCCCAGGCCTTCATGGACACAGCAAAGCAACCTCTATTGTATGAAGTTTTTATTTTCAATTAAAAAAAAAAAGACAAAAAATGAAAGAAGCTACACACAGTCAAAATCCATGTCCAATTTTGTTTACTTCCTTCTGTCCCTTTAAAAGACAGGAGTAAGTGCATTGCAGAGTACAGATTTTTTTTTCTCTTAAGTGTTTTGCCCACCTGCTGAATACTCCACAGACTCTCTGCTTAAAACTGGTTTGAAGAAGGCAAAAGCATTGTTCTATGTAAAGGAAATGTAGCAGGTCTTTGATCTAGAACGTCAGTGACTGGCAAATTCCTTCGTGTGTTTATTACAGAAATACCTATTGAGAACCTATCACCTGTGGGCCAGGGACTGGGGCCTTTTCTAATCCAAATCAGCCCCTTCAGCATCACTGACGTCATCGTCGTGGTGTCACGATGACCTCTGCCTTGCCAGTCTAGCTGCCCATCCTCCGTTCTCATCTCGCTCCTCATGATTTATTTCACCCTCTTCCCAGCTCTTACTGCTTCTTCCCCGGCTTCTGAGGCACCCCGCCCTCCTGGCTTTCCTGCTGTCTCCCTGGTCATGGTCACTCATGTTTGACACTTGACACAGAATAAATCTCTCTCTGGAAGATGAGAGCCATGTTCGGGACAGACAACCCCTCTCTCTTTGCTCTCCACCATCCTCGGGGACCAGATGGATGCTCCATTCCCTACCCTACCCCCAGCCTCATGTTGACATTCCAATGGAAATGGAAGACCTAATAAACAGAAGACCTACAGCCTCTACCAGAGATGGCAAAACACTCCCAGAGATTCCTACCAGGCTTCGGCTTCCCTTTCGTTGTTCAGTAAGCCTGGCTTCCCCAGCAGTACAACATATTGGGAAACACATCTTTTCCACTGGTCTCATGCTACCCTGCAGAAACAGAGTTCTGGTGTGGAGAAAGGCAGGCTGTGTGTCAGGCCAACAACAGTCTACCCTGTCAGCCCCGTAGATCTTGCCAGTCTCTCCCCCCAAGCACTTCAGCTGCATGCCTTCACCTCCATCACTGAATCCTGAGCCATGGTGAGCCACCGTGGTCTTTCACCCAGACACAGGAGAGCCTCCTGTACAGGTGCTCTCTGTACCCCGCCTTCCCCAGTACCTAGGCTCTTCACTTCAAATATCAACTTCCTTTCTTGCAACTCTCCCGGTTATCTGTCACAGTCTGGATCCCCAGAAGCTGACATTTAGTCAAGGACTCTTGTCTAGCTTACCAATGTTAGGCACAGCAAACAAGTTGAAGTACTCTAGTAAGACTAAGAAGGACAGAGGGAAGGGAGCAAGTATCCATCCCCAAGGCCTGATGCTGCTTAACCCTAGGGAAAGCTGTGGGAACCGGTATCCGGTGTAAAACTCTCAGCCCGGGGGGTCGTGGGAGGGTGTTTACACACCAACTCCTAAGATTCACTGTATTCAGCTCTTACAGCTTGAACACCTCGTCCTGAATCCGCCCACCCCAGTCTGTCTCACTGAAGGCCAAGCCTTTCTCTTGACCAGCCTCTCTGCTCACAACCCCTCACAGCTTCTGCTATTCGAAGCACAATTAGGAGTCCATAGGGAGAGCCGACGAATCTCTTCAGGAACAAAGGAATTGCAAAACCACGATTTAAGAATGAGGTCTTGGGCCGGGTGGTAGTGGTGCACGCCTTTAATCCCAGCACTCGGGAGGCAGAGCCAGGCGGATCTCTGTGAGTTCGAGGCCAGCCTGGGCTAACAAGTGAGTTCCAGGAAAAGGCGCAAAGCTACACAGAGAAACCCTGTCTCGAAAAACCAAAAAAAAAAAAAAAAAAAAAAAAAAAAAAAGAATGAGGTCTTGGAAGCTCACCAGCTTTGAGTCTCATTTGAAAAGTGGCTAAATTTGGGGGTGCTCTCTATTTGACAAATAAAGCATAACATTTTTAATAATATAGGTAAATTTTAAAGAGCTGGAATATTTGTGTAAAGTCAATATGTCAGGGCGAATATAGCTTAATTAATGCTAATAAGCATACACATATAACATCTATAAGTCATATCACTGTGTCTAGGAATGGGAAGGATATAGACTCACAGCAGGCACAGAACTCTGCATCTATTTCTGTCTTGCGTCAGCCTGCTTGTCTTTCTTCTTCAGCTGCTCCACAAAGTAATCGTTACAAGCAACAGTCAGAGCCGCCACCATGACCACAAATTCATTAAAATCCACTTCGTTGTCCTTGTTGGCGTCCAGGTCCTGCATTATCTTATCCACCAACTGGGGGTCCTTTTGGCACTAAAGAGAAAAAGGAAAGTTTCTAACTCGGAGGCCTGGAGCATCATGACAACGGAGGTCACATCTTCCTTCAGTTTGTATGGGAATTTTCATTCTCATTTTGGCACCTAAACACGATTCCCACGAGTCTATTTACAAGAAGACCAGAGCCAGCCTAGAGCCCAGCCCCTGTCCCAGGTCCACAGAACGCCAGCTCAGACCCAAAGGTCCAGAGAAGCAAGCAGTAGCAGGCTCAAGTGAATTATGGATACCGGAAGTGTATCTCCTGGACATTGCAGGCACAAGACCAGGACACTGGGAGACAGTAGCCTGACACAGGTGTAGGGCCAGGACACCTAAAGTGTGACATATAAACGGCGGCTTCAAAGTCCAAAGGGACAATGAGTGACATTTACCATCGGTAGGCTTTTGAGCACTCACGGAACATTTTAGAATTCCCTTAGTTGTCCCGTGGGAAGAACAGTCTCTATCCACATGCTATGAAGACGCTTTAACACATTTGAAGGTGCTTAGTACCAAGTTTGCTAGATACGGCCAGTACAAGTACTAGACACCTGGATACATTTGAATTTCAGGTAAACAATATGTATTTTGTGTGTCTGTGTGTCCCTGAAACATACAAAAAGGAGTACCCAGGAGCCATTTTCCTTACTGCTAGGGTTAGGTTCTCCAAGTGTTGACAACTACGTTGAGTTTATTTTTTTAGATCCAATATCCAATATTTTGCTGCAGCAATAAAAGATATAACTAGTTATACCCAGGGTTATCATCACAATTAATAATGGTAGTGTGCCTGGAGCTTTATACAGCAGAAAGGAAAATGGCTCCTGCCAATGTGTGCAGAAAACACAGATCTCCAAGGGCTCCTCCCAGCACTTAGGGTCTAGAAACCAATTATAGAGAGAATGTACGTAATACCTGCCCCTACAGCCATATCCCATCTACGCCCTAGCAAACGAGGCAGGAAAACGGCCTCACCGTGAGGAATTCTGTGAGCTCCCGCTGTAATAACATCTTCAGTTCCCCTTTGTTCAGCTTGAACCTGTCCCCCTCTTTGCAAGAGTAGCGGTGGAAGATCCGAATCATCGTGTCCATGGCCATCTCCAGCTGGGTGGGCATGCTGGTAGCAGAGCGGACTACTCCCGGAGCAGGTCACCAACCCACGGAGAAGGACAGCACTTGTTCAAAGGAAGCAGATGCGGGGGGACACGTCGACTCTTTCCTGAAAATAGAACACACAAGTGATAGTTCTTAAACTGTAAGGATCATCCACCAAAGACCGTGTTCCACGCATTCTAGAGCAGGCTGCAGGCGAGAGCTTTGCAGGTGGTTTTTCTGCTCGCCAGTTCCCACTCCTCCAGGCTGTGTGCCTCCAGCAGTTCATAGGTGAGCAACTCGACATGCCCAGAGTCATGTTAGAACACAAAATTGAAAAAAATAAAGAAAAAGGAAAAGAAAACCCCTTCCTTCCTACCCGTTCAGCAGGCGGCAGCTGTCTGCAGGTGTTCCCGATTATGATCTGAGCCCTGGTCGCTGGCTTTCCACCTGGCACACCTGTTCCCAACAAATGACAATTATCGGAGACAAGAGACTCAACTCAGAGGCCGCTGAGTCTGTTTTTAATCAGCAGAACGAACAGGTGTGCGCTGCTGCCCCAAGGGCTATGGAGGAAGGTGGGTGCCCGCCGGGCCTTAGGGGAGACTGCGGCGTGGGAAGGAGAAGCCCTCTGTTCCGCTCATGTGGGAATATGGGTAGAAGTATAGTTATTGAAGTTGATGAGTAGGACGGGGTCTAAAAGGAACAAAGAAGAAACACTGTTTCAAACCAGTGTGTGTGTGTGCGTGTGTGTGTGTGTGTGTGTGTGTGTGTGTGTGTGTGTGTGTTGTGTGTGTGCTCACGCACACTCAAGCTTGTGTCAGCCTAACGAACCACTGAAGCCTCAACTAGTACCTGGATCGCATTATGAGTGACAAGGTGGTTGGGCGTTAAGTCTTCCTGGCTTGTCCAGTTGCCACCGATTTTATCCCGATCAAGTACAGGAATGCGTTACCTGCTAAATGCGGATGGTAGGAAAACGGTGTATGCAGGAATGTATAGCGGGATTCCCAGGTAAGAAAAACCTTAAGGAAAGGATGCTGGGACGGTGACTCACAAGCACAAAGGCTCAAGTTGGAGCCCTACCAGCCCCGTAAAAAGCCAGACGTGGTGGCCAGAGGAACCTTATCTTGAAGAAAATTTTACTGCTGTTTTTCCTGGAGTGTGTTAAATGAAAGAACGCAGATGATGCTGGTCTCCTCTTGCGGTTCAGTTTCCTGCAAAGACCGTCCTGAGTCTTTGTGGCCACTGTTCCTCAATTGTGAATGCTTCTATACACTCCAGCTCTGAAATGTTGTTCCCGGAGTATTCTTGGGCACGTCTATAATGTCTAAACCTTTAGCCCAGATGTCTGCCGAGCATCAGGATGACCTAGACCCGTTTACTGAAGAGCCCCATAAACTTGATTAGGATTCAGCTAAGATGCCTTCCCTCTCCCCACCTCCTGCTCGGACCATCTCAGTCACCCACTGCCACTTTCCACCCGAGCTTCTGTCACCGTTTAAACGTCCACTCCTCCTCACTCTTTGCCACCTTCAAGTCTTGAGTCACTAGGCTCCTTACAACACTCTGGGCTGACTGTCTGGACTACTGCTGTCAGACACCCTTCTGCCGTCACAGTAGTTGATCACAATACGATCAATACCCACATGTCTGGGCACTGACGGGTCTGTCCCTGCCTGCACCCCAATGGGAATATCGAGCTCTCTTGCCTTGCCTGCATCCCATCCACTCGTTGACGATGACGACGGAATGCAAATGTCACCGCCTGCAGCAACTTTCCTGCATCCTTCCCAGCTCCCCAGTCCTGTCAGAGGAGCCCACTTCTTTCTTTTTTCTTAGCACTGTGCTTTGGGGACATTCCTGTAATCACCATCATCACGTACTCTCCACTCTCCACACTTGGAATGATTTCCTTTTTTTAAGAATTGTATTTATTTAAATATTTATTTATTTATTTATTTATTTATTACGTATACAGCATGCCTGCAGGCCAGGAGAAGGCATCAGATCTCATTATAGATGGTTGAGAGCCGCCATGTGGTTGCTGGGAATTGAACTCAGGACCTCTGGAAGAGCAGCCAGTGCTCTTAACCTCTGAGCCATCTCTCCAGCTCCTGGAATGATTTCCTTAATCTCAGGCTCCATCTTTGTGTTCCACAGCACTTACTGCAAAATCAGGCACACGGAAGTGCTTGGAACCCCCTTGTTTGTAGCCACCTGTGTGGTGCATACCTGCCATCCCTGCACTTGGGAAGCTGAGGCAGGAGGATGGCAAGTTCAAGGTCAGCCTGAGACATGTGAGTTTAAGACAATACTGGGCTACAAAATGATACCTATTTTAGAATGGGGGGGGTGGAGAAGGAGAGGAAGAGAGGATTGGAGGAGGGAGGGGGCGGGAATCGTGATGGATGGACAATGAACTAGGGAAGGGGTCTGTGTTCTCCCAAGAACTGGGCTTTGTCCAGCTCACCTGCCCAATTATTTAATTGCCTTTATTCTGCATTAAAAACTTTGTTCATCAAAAGGAGAGGGGGTTATTTTGATGAAATACAGTTTGAATTTGGAATTGAATGTTACTAGGTTAAGCGCTGAAGTTACATATGCATAAAAATAGGCAAATTGTACTGAGTGGGTGGGTCTCAACAATGTTGTATTCAACCACAAAGCTATCTATTTGGAGAAATCAAGTGACAGGTAAAGCTTCTCATGGAGCCGGGTGGTAGCACACACCTTTAATCCCAGCACATGGGAGGCAGAGGCAGGTGGATCTCTATGAATTTGAGGCCAGCCTGGTCTATAGAGTGAGCTCTGGGACAGCCAAGGCTACCCAGAGAAACTCTGTCTCAAAACACACACACACACACACACACAAACAACAACAACAACAAAAAAAAATGAAACAACAACAACAAAAAAAAAATACTTCTGACAGAAAAGACAGCAAAGATTAAAACGCTAAAGTTGGATTTAAGAGCTGAGACTTTGGCTCCTCGGTGCTGGAGTTCCAAAGCCAGGCAGATTCCAGTTTCTAAGGCTGGCTCAGACCTGAAGGTTTCCTTTGGTGTGTGCTGCCCCTTAGTGTCGTGCTCTGGAACTGCACCTCACAGAATGCACTTTGGCTTTGAGCCTGTAAAACATGTGGCTCTTAGCAGGGGCTAATAAACCAGCCCTGGCCTGAGATCTCCAGGAGATATTCGGGAACAAAGGCAAACATGAAAGGCTCGATGAGACTCTGCCACCCTAGGGACACAGACGCACTGGTGACAGCCGCCCAGAAGGGCTGTCCTGTGCACTTCACTTTTACCTCAACTTGTATTCTTTTTATTTTGACGTGACTCATGACTCTCAGAACTAAAAAGCCCAACTTTGCATCCAAAGCAGAGCAGAAAGAAGGAGGAAATGGATAGAAGTGAGGAAGCCTAAGAGAAAGACTCCTGGGGAGAGATGGAGGCCGGTGAACATCCACAAACATGAGAATTCTTTTAAAATTCTATCTATGTGTTTCCTTAATGTGTGTGAGTGTTTTGCCTGCATGTATGTCTGTGTACCTCTTACATGCCTGGTGCCTACTGAGGCCAGGAGGCCAGAAGGGTGTTGGATCCCCTGGAACTGGAGTTACAGACAGTTGTGAGCCACCACGTGGGTGCTGGGACCCGCCGAACTGGGTCCTCAGCAAGAGCAGATGGTGTTCTTAACTGCTGAGCCAACTCTCCGGACCAGAGGATTCTTTTTTAGTACAATGCTTGGAAGTGAATGGAACAAGAGAAAGGGGGGCTGGAGAAGTGAGTGCTGGCTGCTCAGTCATCAGGACCAGAGTCGGGATCCCAGCACATAAGCACGTGAACATCCCCACACATCTGTAACTCCAGCTCTGAGGGGTCTGATGAGCTCTTCTGGCTTCCATGCTCAAAGGTGGACATGGACACATACACACATATCTTTAAAAGTAGATATACATATTAAAGAAATGTTAAAATTCCTTAACAATAAAGGCTTTTAAGCATCACAGTAGTGACTAGAAGATTGTCTAAGAGATTGCCTGGAAATAGTGAAAGGCTTTTATATAAATGACTAACAAATCGAACACAGAAACTCTCTAACTGTCCAAGCGTATACTCAGGCTGGAGGTAGTAGACAAATTTTGATCTGAACCTCAACCAGTCACACTGGCCAAGTGGCATGGGTGAGTGGCGACACCCATGTCACAGATCTGAACGTCAGCTCACGTCTGTTGTCAAGACTAGCTGTCACCAACTAAAAGCGTACCCCTCTTTCGGCCAGAATGTTGGAACGAGGTTTCAGTGATAGCCAGCCTTCAAAATGATGCCCAGTGACCCTTGCCTCCTGGTGTTCTAACTCCGTGTGGTCCCCTTGAGGTAGGTTAAAAAGGGAAAGTTAAGGGACAGGGGAGGAAGGAAACCACTCACCCCAACTCTGGCTCAAGTCTCTCAATAGGTGGGAGTCAAGAATTCTAGCACAAACCTGGGGAGATGGTTCAGTCAGTAAAGGGCTCGCTTTGCAATCAGAAGAACCTGGGCGTCCATCCCTGGAACCCACACTAGAATGAAGGAGTGAAGGAATGAATGAACTCCAGCACAGTGAACAGCCCCTGGGAAAGCTGCCTGCAGAGACGGTGTTCCTTCAGTGTGGAGATATTTCTAGTAAGAATGTTAAAATAACGTGTGGTCCTGAAGGCCTGGGTCTATGTGGTCTACTCTCCTTCCCTGCTGTAAACCTGTAATTTCCAAGGACTCTCACAAGAGATCCCGTTTATAATGAAACACTCGTCTTAAGTCCTCTGGGCAACCCTTGGGCTCACAGTTTTATCTTATCAGATTACAATCCACAGCACCCTCAGGGCAACCCTGTAATTAAAAAAGAGGGAAATAGGGGAGGCAGTTTCTCAGGACCCATCTAAGATGCAACTTGAGAGCTGCCAATCATATACGTCACTACAGTCCGAGTCCCTCTTGGGGAGCTTGCACCCACGCTCTTGGGTGTGTCCTATCTTTTCCCTGAGG